ACTATCTTGTAGCCGCTGTTTTGGAGGAGAAAAAAGAAGACAATACATTCAAGTTGTATAAGACCACGACAGATAAATGGTAAAATAAAATGTCAAAGTCAATTCGACAACAAATGCTTGTACGACCTCCCCCCCTCCTAACGAACAGGTTCGACGTGCAGGCGAGGAATACAAGAACGTTGGCAATGGGATCAGGACAGTTTAAAGGATGGAGAAGAGCGGTAACTAATTGGCAAGGAAAAGAAACCTATATGCATAGTGACAATACTGAGAAATACAAGGGAGACTGGAGTGGCCATTTCTGGCTTATTAGCCATCATCAGTCGGCCATAGCCAACCCCAGGTGTCGCGCACCCGAGGTTCAAACCCGCGACCCATTGAGGCACGGGCTCGTTGATCTGTCGGCTTCGATTGGGAAAAGTAATAATAGTAGATTGACGCTTCACCGATCGGTTATCATGGGAGTGTTGCTCGTGGATCGGGTCGGGGAAACATTTTCGTGTCGTTTTATTTTGGCACTCAATCTAGCGTCCTCTCAGTCCGTCGCATAACGATCGGGAAGTATGTAAATGAAGTATCGATAAGGAGAAGAAGAAGAAGGGTTGGAATGACAACTTCTGACTTATCAGCTATCGTCAGCTAACCATTACCCTAACTGCAGGTCTGGAGAACCTGATATTTGAACCAGGAGTCCGGTCAGTGAGCATCAAGTCCACCACTACTCTGCATATAATTGCAGTTTTCTATACGGATGTCGAGGTTGAGTCGCAAGACGCAACGGCGCGAGCGTGTCCTGTGGCTCGATCAGTGAACGACCTTCCCAAGGCCGTAATTGCTAGGAAAACAGGTTTCCATGGAAATTGTTATGGCCCACAAGCCAGAAACAGTTCTTTCAGTCGTGTGTACATGTAAATGCATACAACTTCCGGCTTTAAATATGTCCAGATGTAGGATGAGACTACTGGTTGATACTGTTCGTGAAACCGAATTACACACCATTATGTAGCTAGACGAGTTTTACAAAAAAGTACCTTCAGGCACCAAGGTCCTCATACAGATCAGAGCTAAGGGCGTGGTGTTTAGTCCGTCCCGGCGCCTAAAAGTATATTTTTGCGTAAGGCGAAAGCAAAAAACTTAAGTTAGTGATGTAAATGGAGTATCGACACAGATAGATGTATATGCCTACGGTCATAATTAGAAGTGAAGTATTTTTTAGCACTTAATTAGAAATTATTAGAAGCCTACCTATCGATGCCTACGTACACACCAACCTAACCCCAACCCGACGCATTGCGCTCTTATTAGGGTTAGAATTCGTTGGCGTCTGCCTGTATCTACTACTGTTGGAAACGGTAATCTACGCATAATTCTGAATCGCTGAAGGTTGTGAATGGACGAAATTTCGACGAGTGGACTGGGTGTGTCCACTTTTGCAGAATATACAGACTTCTGTAGCTGTTACAAAGATTTTTGTTATAAAAAGCCTGTTGCTAGTAGTAACGGCCGGCGCTCGTAAGCAACACATGACTAAGCCAAACTTACACGAGCGCTACAAAAGAGCTCTGACATTAAAGGAAGGAGGGTTACAGTCTTTCACTCATTATTTTTTCTAACTACGGTTCAGGGCTCTAGAAGAAAAGAATAACCCTTCCAAGGGCAAAGTCGGCCAACTATTGAGCGGCGGCATGAGAATGCTGGTTTTGAGTAGAGAAAAGCGGAAGCAGAAAAAAGAAGATACACAACAGACTAGTTAGTGAGTAGGAAAACTAGCCCAGGAAGTGCGAGTAGCTACGACTTTGATACTTTGTAAGTAGGTAGTGTGGTGTCTACTGTCACATAATACTAAGTTAGGTGGCCTGCATTGGAGAAATCGGTTTATGTCTGATCCCCTTCGGTCATCTCAACTCTGTCTTGTCACCGGTTCAAGAGTTCGGAGTGCGGTAGACGGCTGCGCGTATATTTCACTGAAATATTAACCCTGACTACAGCCACCACCCTCCCCCCCCTGCTCCCGAGCACATGGTGGACTTCATCGAAATCGACGGTCGAACTGTCATCGAGATAATGAACATGGCCCGGCTGTCGAATTACGGGGAGAAGTTCTGTTGGGGAAAATGCGAACGGCATCCGCAGGTCCTTATCCTATGCACGCAGTCAGACAACTATTTGCCTCCTCTGCACACAACATGTCCCCGGATAGCGCACGCGTCTCTGAAGGCGGGCGCAGGTAACCAGGTCAACATCTCGCGTGGGAATCAGTCCTACGTGTGATTGGACGTTGCCAAGGTTGTGGGCGACTAAGTTTAACTGTCTTCAGGACTGAGTAGGTACCTGTTTCATCCACCCAAAGCTATGACTGCATGTGGCTACGGCAACTGGGAGCGCCAGGATGGTCACATACAAGGAAGAAGCA